CAAACGGCGCCTCTAAACCAACAGGGAGGCCTGAACCCCCCCCAGATGGGCAGAAACAGGGTCTGGGCACCCCCAGGGCTTTACTTACAAATGGCCATGGCTATCACGACGTTTTGCAAATCTGTTCCCTTATCTTCAATCTGTTCAGGTAGGTGGGAGCAGTGTGCATCCGGAAAGAAAGAGACGGGCTGCTCGGAGCTAACCCTGCCCCGCGTGTGCTAGGAATCCCTTTCTTTCCTACTGACAAGGCGATGCTGCCACCCCTGGCTGGACCCGGAGCTGCCCCTGCCTCTTCCAGCAGTCGCAGGTGCCATCACCTGGGAAGCCAGTGGCCACTCCAGAGACGCCAGACCTGTTACGGAAAGCCCGGCACTTGTTCTCCAGGCAGAACAGAGAACAAGTGGTTGGAGGAGGAAGGAAAGATGAGCTTGATTACTTTGCCAGCAGAGGAGGATGGAGACGCCTGTTGGAAACACCGCGGGCCTCAGCGCGAGCAGAAACGCGAAGCTCTCAAGGACGGGTCCTCCGGCAGGCAGCTGCTGCTCCGCTACAGCTGATGGCTCTGATCCGCCCATCGCGCGGAAGACAGTCCCCGACCTCCGCCCAGGACCTGCCTTTACCAGGACTGGGCTGGGCCATCTCCTTCAGCACAAATAACAAGAGACTCGCTGTGCCCCTCCCAGCCGCAGCAGGCCGGGATGCAGGCTGTACTGCTCAAAATGGAGTGGAGGAGGTTTTAAAGAGACAGAAAATATTTTTGCTGTTTTCTTCCCCACCCCCCCAGGCCATTCGCTCTGTTACTATTCCCCACGCCCAATATTTCCCTTCCATATCTATTGGAGGAGGGAGGGATGACTCTGGTACACAGGTGCAGGCTAAACCCGGGCCATTCCCACTTCATTCTGCAGGGCAGGCCCCGAGCAAATGAGGCAGACACACCGACAGAGGGGCCCGGGGTCTTCGGCAATGGGGGCAGTTTCCAGCCCCCAAGAGGAGGTCAGGAGAGCAGGGAGAGCCCCAGGTCCCAGCAGGTACCAGCCCCAGGAGTGGAAGGGGGTGCTAAGCAGGTGGTACAGTCTGAATGTTTGGGTGCCCCCAATTTCATAAGTTCAAGCCCCAACGTGAGGGTGTTAGGAGGTGGGACCTTTGGAGGTCATCAGATTTTGATGAGGTCATCAGGTTGCGATGATGTCATGTGGAAGGACCCCCATATTGGGTTATTGTCCTTATAAGATGAGGAGACCACATCTGTCCCCACCCCCAACTCCATGTGAGGACACAGGGAGAAGGTGACAGTGTACCAGCTGTGAAGCCACCCTCGCCAAGTAGCGAATTTGTTGGCACATGGACTTTGAACTTGCAGTCTCCAGAACTATGAGAAACAAACGTGCATTGTTTAATAGACCCCTAATATGTGACACTTTGATCATAGCAGCCTCAGCGGACTAAGACACCGAGCAACCGCATCAGGGTAGCCCGCGGGAATCAGAACCTGGGAACCCAGCTCCCTCCATGTGAAATGTGGGTAGAGTTTACGTTATTTTCAACACTTGCGGTATTGGAATAACTTGCAGTAATGGAATTTATTTACAAAAATGTTAAGCAAAAGGTGTGGCTAGGTGTCCGGGTTTTCCAGTATGAGTGTTTTCCAGCTGAGATTCTCTGGGGAGAAGTGTGTGCAGACACGACGCTTAGCATGGAGCGCGGCACCGATCAGAGTCCCAGTGAGTGGAGGGGGCCGGGAGCACTGAGTGTTCCAGAAATGACACCCCAATTGTCCTGTGCCTTCCCCTTGGATGGGCTCCTTCCTGGTAGCTGGGGGCCTTCCCTGGAAGGGGACAGAAACGCCCCTCCGCTCTGACTGCTCCCTCTCCCAGGCAGGCTCTGCCCTCCCGTCCCCCAGGCTCCAGGGATCCCCTAGGCCGCGTGGAGGGGCCAGCTCGGGCCCTGCCCCAGGAGCCGCAGCCAGGCCAGGCCTGGCCCAGACCTGAGCCAGGGGCACAGGCTCCTCCATCCTTCTGAGGCTGGGCCTTCCCGCGAGGCCCAGGCTCTGAGGGCGCCGCAGATGGACACACTCTGTCTGCTGAGCCCCAGGCCGCAGAGGTGCTTCCAAGCCCCACACGTGGAGGGCAGGGGGCCCAGGGGCCTGTGGCCCTAACCCCACCCCTGACACCAGGGCCGGCCAGCACAGAGCCCACCACTGCTGGCAGAGGAAGGCCTCATTGTCCAGTTTCCTGGCAGAGGTGGGACTGGGGCGTGTCCGGGCCAGGAAATAAATGCTCAGTAAATCCCCTCTTGGAGAGCCCTGATCCCAAGGGACAAAGGGCCTGTGTTGAGTGTCCCCGGGCGTGGCTCAGGGCCAGCACTGGGCCAGGGTGGACAGAGAGGGAGGGGCAGGGTTCTGCAGGACCGGGACCTCCCAGCAGGTGGGCCACCCCCAGCCCCCCGCATGCAGGGCGCGGGAGTGATGCGCGTCTGCGGCTCCCGTGTGGGACGCGGGGCAGCGTGCGTGTTTGGGGCGCCCTCACGTGTGCATCGTGCGTGTTCCACACGTGTGTGGAGGCGCATCTGTGCTCACCGCCTGGTGTGCTCTGAAAATGCGCCCCAGCGTGTGCTTGGGCAAGGGCCGGATTCCACGGGCCGGGCTGCCTCGGTCTGTTCCTCCGGCCCGGCCACCCCAGCCACAGGGACACTCCTTGTGGGCACCGACCCTGCCAGCCTGGAGCAAGAAAGAAGGGACGGAGCTGGCAGCAACACCAGGAAAAGTGCCCGCGGGCTGGGCTGGGGCGAGGACAAGCCCCTTTGAGGCGCCTCCGGCTCCGGCTCCGGCTCCAGGGCTGCGCTGGCCAAGGGCTTGGGCCCTTCCGCGAAGGAGGCTCCTCCCGAGGCCTCGCCCGGCGCTGAAGGCACGTGGCCGCGGGCGGCAGCGCCTGTGAACACCCGCATCCGAATCTCGAAGGATTGTCATCTCTCATAAACATTGGTGTCCAATTGTGTCTAACAGTCCAGCATGTGAAACTCACGCTTGGCTCCTGCCGTGTGGTGCGGGCAGAGGCCGGTCTGGCCTTCAGCCACAGAGTCCCCGCCCCGGCGCAGGCACCTGGCGCAGGTAACGGGAGTCCCCGCCTGCCGTCCCCCCCTGTCGTCCCCACAGCTCGGCGTCCCCTGTTCCCGTGAGCCGCACTCACAGGGCGAGCTGCGCACACCCCGCCGCTCTCTGCACCCCCTTTCCTCGACGCACGTGGGCGTCTGGACACGCGGCTGCCCCGGCCTGCTGCCCTCGGGCCAGGCCCCTGCAGCGGGAGCCGGCCTGCGACCCCAACCCGCAGGACCCGGCGAGGACCCCCTCGGTGCACGTGTCTCCAGGTGGGCACGTCCGGTGTCTCTAATCGTTGCTCTTTCCAGAGAAGAACGTAGCTCACCTGCCCGCACGGCGTAAGGTCAAGCTACAGGTGACCGGCCCTTCCACGGAGAATCCCGCGGGTCCTCACGGCCGCCCGGTGGGGGCCTCTAGGCTGATCCAGGTAGAGCAGGTGAGGCCGTCATAGCACAGAATGGGAAAGCCAGCGCTGGAGTCCCCCACAGTGCCCGAGTCCCCCCAGCGGGGGCGAGGCTGGGCCTGGGCGGAGTGCGGCTCCGCGCTGTGCTGGTAACGCCCGCCCGGGCCGTCCCCCGGCACAGCCCGGGCTTCAGCCGCCACGTCCCACCAGGTGTGCACAGGACACGCATGGACCCAACTGCTGCTCTCGGTCCCTCCACCTGCTCTGGGTGGGTGTCCCAGGGCCTTTGTCCGTTTTCCCCCATCCTTACCCTACAAGCCGACCGCTTCCCATGACCCCGTTCCTTCCCAGACGGGTGGCTTTGGTTCCTTCAAAATCCTTGGGATGGGCAGGGCACGGTGGCTCACGCCTGTAATCCTAGCACTTTGGGAGGCCGAGGCGGGCGGATTGTTCAAGGTCAGGAGTTTGAAACCAGCCTGAGCGAGACCCCGTCTCTACCAAAAATAGAAATAAATTAATTGACCAGCTAAAAATATATATACAAAAAATTAGCCGGGCATGGTGGCGCATGCCTGTAGTCCCAGCTACTCGGGAGGCTGAGGCAGTAGGATCACTGAGCCCCGGAGATTGAGGTTGCTGTGAGTCAGGCTGACGCCACGGCACTCACTCTAGCCTGGGCAACAAAGTGAGACTCTGTATCAAAAAAAAAAAATCCTTGGGATGAAACATCTGCACGAGAGGGGCTCATGCAAACAGGGGTCCCCGTCCACCCCCACAGGGCTCCCTCCCAGGGCCCCAGCCATCGCCCAGGTAAGGCGGCCCTCGGCCTGGCCGTAGGCGCTCTCAGAAGTCCTGGCCGGGACAGTGGCCCTCCTGAGACCCCCTGCCTCCTGTCAGCGCACCGACTGCTCCTTTGCTGTCCTTCCCTCCCGTGGCCTGTGAGTCCATCAACGCGGGTTCATCCCCCCTACGCCCGCACCGCGCGCACAGCAGGGACCACGGCCACCTCCGCAGACAGCACATGCAGGCCCAGCAGACGTCTGCGGTGTCCCTGACCCCCTGCTTAGGGCACAAGGAACTGGACTGTCCACCCTGGATCCTGGGGTCAACAGGGAGCTCGGCTGGGCCCCAGAAAGCCTGGAGAATGCCAGGAGCTGCCTGGGCCCGGAGGGGCCTGAGGCCAGGTCTGCCCGTGGCGGAGCGTCCGTGGGCACCTGGCCTCGCCCGCCCAGTTGACTCCTGTCTGGCTGAGCTGGAGAAGACTCTGAGCAAAGCTCTCCCCACCTCTGCAGAAAAGGCATGTGCAGGTGCTGATGAGAGAGAACACAGAGGTGACCATAAAATTCCTGTTACTGTCCCCGGTGCTGTTTGTGTAGGCTGCGGGGCCAGGACAGCAAACACTGCGCGACCGGGAGCCTCCCCCAGGAAGAGCCCCGCCGCCAGCCCCTTCCTGGCCCTGGTGGCCCCTCGCTCCTTCCTCCTGGACCGGGGCCACAGCGCTCGGAGGGTATAAAGGCCAGGTGGAGGGTGCCCAGCCACAGCAAGAGTCCCTGGTGCAGACTGTCCCAGTGGGAGTCGGGAGGCCTCTCCTCTTCCCCCCAGAGCCCCAGACGCGCCACAGGCCATGCTGCTGCTGCTGACAATCGCACTCCTGGGGAGCCGCCCCTGCTGGGCCGCCCGTAAGTCCCGACTCACCCCAGCCTTGTCAAGGGGGGACTCTGGTCCCAGACCACCCAGTCTGTCTGGAGGGGCATGTCCCTTGTGCTGCAAGACCGCCTGCCCATCCCCGAGTGGGCTTCCTTCCCGTTTCTCTCGTCCCTGCAGAGCAGTACGGGCACGGCGGAGGCACCTCTTTCAGCACCTCTGGGAGCCAAAATGGTGAAATCACAGGGCTGCGGGTGTTCATCGGTGTCCTTCACAATATCAGAGGGTGAGTGGGCTCCAGGCCACAGCGCGACACCCCGTCCCAACGCAGCCAGAGCCTGGCAACACCCTGCCTGGCCCCTGGGACTCTGTGAGGCCATCTGAGCCCTTGGAGCCCCCGGACACCTCCCTTCCTGTGTCCCTGTTCCTCAGCCACCTCCTCTCCCCTCACCTGCCCCCTCCCTCCGGCTCCCCCGTACATCCTGCCCCTGCTCCCTGTGCTGGTCTGGGAGGGCGAGGTGACCGTTCCCTGCCATTTGCTTTCTGACCACGCTGCACTCGAGCAGAAATGGCCTTCCAGGCCCAATGGCTGATGAGAACATCAAGGGAAGGTAGAGAACACAGGAGTTGAGGGTCAGAGTGGACCACTGATTGAGCACGCCTCAGCACAATTGTTAGAGGCAGAAAGCCCGGGCATTCCCCTCATATTGAGATGTCCCTGCTCAAGGCCTGGCGTGGATCTATGCTCTGCACTGAGGGGTGCTGGGGTCCCGGGAGAGGGCAGGGGGAGAAGGGCCCAACAGCAGAGGGGGACATGCGGGTGGGGCCACAGGGGGGGTGTCCACAACAACACCCAGGCAGGGAGGGACAGAGACGCCCAGCTGGGTGGGCGGGAGAGTGTGGGAAGTCAGCTGCTCGTCAGCCCTGGGAGCTGCTCCTTCGGGGGTGACTTGGGCTCAGGAGCCCCAGCTTGGCCAGGGACAGCCCCGCTGTGAGCCGTGGGGACGGCTGTGGCCCCTCCTGATGGCCGTGACGACCTCGTCCATACAGCCTCTCCTACCGTGATCTGGGCGACCCCCCAACAACCGCTCCCGCTCTGCACATGAGGAGCCGAGCCCGGCACAGCCTGGTGACCAGCTCAAGGTCACGGGCCTGACAGTGGCAGGGAAAGGGCTTGAGGCCAGCAGGTCCATCTGGGGACCCCACTCTGCCAGGGCTGCTGTCCCTGTGTCAGGAGGGGAGGGTGGGGCACGCAAGCCCTGGGAGGGGCTGGGTCACCCCGATGGCAGGGCTTCAAGCTTCACCTCCCTTGCAGTATCCAGGTGAAATTTGGAGACATCTGGGATGATCGTCGTGGTGCCTCGGGTGGGACGAGCCAGGAGCTCCTCCTGTGGCCGGGAGAACACATCACCGAGATCCACGGCGCATTCAACCTGCTAATCCACTACCTGGCCGTGTGCACCGACATGAGAGGCTGCATCTCCTTTGGGAAGAACGCTGGCAAGCAGTTCTCTGCCTTCCCCAGCCAAGAGGGACAGGTGCTCACGGGCATCTTTGGCCAGTACGGACTCTTTGGCCTCAAGGGGATCGGCTTTAACTGGGATTTCCCAAAAGCGGACAGTGGCCTGGCAGCGGAGGACACCACTGAGTCGGTGGAGGACAGCACCCAGTCAGTGGAGGACAGCACCGAGTCGGTGGAGGACAGCGCCCTGGCAGAGGAGGACAGCGCCGCGGCAGCAGATGACGCCCTCATTTGGCAATAGTTACTGCAAGGTGACAAATGCTGCAGCCAGCTGGGGTGTGGTGGGCTAACAGTCCTGGGGTAACGGTGACGCTGAATCTGACGTCACCAATCAATAAAGCTTCTGCAGGGACAGTGCGTCCAGTGTGGTGCTTGGCTCCTGGGCACCACCAATAGCGCCCAAGCCTTCCCGCCTCTGGGGCACGAAGCCCCCGGGCTGCAGCCCAAAGAAGCAAGCTGAGGGGTGGGGCAGAGGGGCCTCCGCCAAGGACGAGAGGCGGCCCGCAGAGGCCGCTCCCTGACCCCACGGTGGTTGAGGAGTCTGCCTCCAAGGCCTCCACTGCCCCGTCCCCCAGGCCCATCCGCTGCCTCTCCTGGCCGGGCTCAGTGCCAGGCTTGTCTGAGCGGCCACGGGGCCTCAGGGCAGCCCCTGGTTCACCCATTCACGCAGCGGTCATTTGCCAAGGGTGTCTACACCGGGCTCCCAGGCCCTGGGGTGCACAGACGGGGCCAGATGTGCGGCTTCGGACCTGGCTGCCCCATGGGGCAGATGCAGAAGCAGATGGTGGCAGGTCGGAGTAGCACCTGCACTGATGGGCGCACGTGTGGGGGCTGTGCGCAGGCACCTGCCCAGAGGTGAGGCGGCCGGGGCGTGCTTCAGGGAAGTCTTCCTGGAGGAGGCGCTGTCTGAACTACGTCTTAAAGGATGAGGGAGAATTGCCCAAGGGGACACAAGGGGAGGAGGGGGTTCCAGCCCAAGAGATCTTTGGGCCAAGGCCAAGGCTGGAGACAGCTGGGGACAGAGCCCGTCAAAGCATGGTCATTTCCTACTGCGGCACAGGAAACTAACAAAGGCCTAGACCTGGCCCACTCTTCCTATCCCCCGGGTGACTTCCCCAACAACTACTCCTGCTCTGCACTTGAGGAGCTGAGTCCCAGAGAGTCTGGGTGACCAGCTCAAGGTCTCGGGCCTGACAGTGGTAGGGCAAGGGTTTGAGGCCATCAGGTGCATCTCAGGGACCCAAACTCTGCCAGGGCTACTGTCCCTGGGTCAGGAGAGGAGGGTGTGGGCACAGATGCGCTGGGAGGGGCTGGGTCACCCCAGTTCCCGATGGTTCAAAGCTTCACCCAGGGGTCTGCACGTCCCCAGTCCACACGAAATTGGGCAGTGAGCTCCAGGGCACCCTCTCGGGCCCGCTTTCTCCCCAGCCCGGGGTCCCTGCTCTGGGCAGGATGTGTTGGGCATAGGCTGCGCTGCAGCAGGGGTGGTAGTGCCCCCCTCCTGCACCCAGGCGCCCACACTGTCATCCTCAGGAGCCACTGACAGGAGCCACCTGGCAGGGGCTCCTCGAGGCCGTCCAGTGGCTGCCTTGAACCTCCAGGGAGCGCCCAGTGGGTCAGACTCCGGGCGGGAGGCAGAGGACACTCCAATGGTACACGGCGCTTGTCCCGTCCACATCCTGGTAGGCGTCCAGGTCTGTCCCCTCGCCTTTTCCCAGTCCTGGGGAGTGGCTATGGCCGAGAGCTCCTTCCTTCCACCAGTCTCAGACCCCAAGACTTCCGGGTATAGGGCCCCACCGTCCTCCTCATGGAGCTGTCACCAGCATCCTCTCCATCTGGCACAACGCCACGGCACCCACGCAGGGGCCAGAGGCAACACTGTGGCCAGGCGCTCCCGGCGCAGACCTCGGCAGCTCCTCCGGCACCGCCCAGCCGGGGCCGGACACCGCAGGCCTCCGGCCCACGGCCACTGTAGGTGCGGGTCACCCACCTGGGAGATACCACACGTGCGATAACGAACTGCGCCCCTTGGCGAGAGGAATAAAATGAGAGCGATGGGCTGGAGGGACAGGAGCCTAGGGCCAGGCCCAGGGAAGAACCAACTTCTAGACAGAGGCCTGCATCCAGAGTAGGGGTCTCCCAGGAAATGGGGGACACTCCAGACGGAGAAAACCGTGTCGGGAAAGGCCAGAGGCGGAGAAGGGTGGGTACACAGGGCCCCACGCGGCCGGGCAGGTGCAGCAGAGTGAGGAGGGGAGTGGACAGGGACAGTGGGACTGGGGCAGGAGTGGAGGGTGCTGTAGCAGTGTCACTTGCAGGCTGCACTGGTCCCCTGTTGGGGTTTTTTATTTTTATTTTTTTGAGACAGAGTTTCACTCTGTTGCCCTGGCTAGAATGCTGTGGCGTTAGCCTGGCTCACAGCAACCTCAAACTCCTGGGCTCAAGCGATCCTACTACCTCAGCCTCCCATGTAGCTGGGACTACAGGCATGCGCCACCATGTCCGGCTAATTTTTTCTACATATTTTTAGTTGTCCAGCTAATTTCTTTCTATTTTTAGTAGACACCGGGTCTCACTCTCGCTCAAGATGGTCTTGAACTCCTGATCTTGAGTGATTCTCCTGCCTTAGCCTCCCAGAGTGCTAGGATTACAGGCGTGAGCCACCAGGCCTGGTCTTCTCAGTGGGTTTTAACCCCTCCATGAGAGAGGAGAGCAAGGAGATGGGGCCACAGCCAGTGCCCCGGCCACTCCGTCCCCAAGTAGATGAAGTGGACCCCGGACAGTGCAGAGTGGGGAATACATTCTACGGGGTAACCCCTCCGTGGTGTGGGGAGCCGGAAGCCCCTCCAGCCTTGCTCCCCAGGCTCACCGGTGACCTGGGAGGTCTGCCGCTGGTGGGTGCATTTTCCACGCAGCAGGGCTGTGGGCTGGGGAGGGGGCGGAGTCAGGCCAGAGCCCCTCCCACCTTCTGCTCACAGCATTCAGGCATCTTGGCAAGTGCAGATCTGCCTTCACAGCTCAGAGGGCCCACTGAGTCTGCCCTGCTGGGCTGGTCCCTTGGCCACACTGATGCTGGAGTCAGGGGACACTGATGGGGGACACACAGGGTTGACACCCTCCCAGTAACCTGCCCCAGCCACTTTCGATGCAGCTGCTACAACTCCCTCAGGGCTCACAGCCTCGCCTGGGGGCAGCTGCAGCTCGGGAGCATCTTGTGCCCCAGGACCACCCTCAACATGTGCAGGGTCAGGGGAGAGGGTGTCAAGAGAGAACCGTCCTTCCCTAGAGTCCTTGTTCTCAGGGCCAATGCTGAGGCCCCAGCAGGACTGTGCCTCTATTGCCAGCAAGTAGAACCTCAATGTTGGTACAGCCATTAGCATTTTTACCTCCCCTGCCTTGGAGTCCCTCCTTCTTCACCTGCTCCCTGGGACCCCTGCCAGATAAACTCCCTGTACCAACCAGGTCCTGGCCTTGGCAAGCCTTGCAGGGTCTGTGGTGAGACCGGGAGTGTCTGGCGTGCGTGTGCCAGGGAAGCCTGGGATGGGGACGTTGGGAGTGTTTCCTCCTTGGCACCCCCACCCCCAGCCTTCCCAGCCCCGGACACGCTGCAGCTGCTACTGCTCTTCCATCCAGTATCTTCCCGGAGACAGCTCTGCCTGCCGTTTGTAACAAAACCTGGGGTAATACACGTGGGCAGGCAAGGACTAAGGGGTTAGGGCAGCTCAGGGGCTGAACTGGACATGGGTGACTGGGAGGAAGTTGTCAGGGAGCCCCCAGGCTGGAGGAACACTCTGCCAGGCGTCACTCAAACGTGTTTATTGGCACACAGGACAGGAGAGACCAGAGCCTGGCTCAGCAGGCGACTCGATCCTCACGGGCGCAGGACACTCAAGCCCCAAGCTGCAGGAGTCGGGGAGCCCAGAGCAGCGTGAGGAGGAGCAGCGGCAGGCAGGGGTCTGGCCTGGGCATGCCACTCCGGGTCATCTGCTTCAGGATCCATTTGAAGTGCTGGCTGACATTGGTGTAGACACCGGGCCGGTTGGGCCGACCACAGCCCACTCCCCAGCTCACGACTCCAACCTGATACCACAGTCCATCCTTCTCGCACACCAAGGGTCCACCTGAGTCACCCTGGGGAGCAATGTGGGTGAGACCAGCCTGGGGCAGGCTCAGGGAGCAGCAGAGGCCGGGAGAGCTGGAGGGGCCGTGGGGCTGGGTGCGAATCCTACTCCCCCGGGGCAGTCACCAAGCCTCAGTTCGTGCATGTGCAAAAGGGGGCCCACTGCCTCTGCCTCCCAGGGTTGGTGTACGGATCACATGAGGTAAGGGACGCAGGCTGCTCTTACCCCTGGGACTGGGCGTGGTGGGAGGGACACTCACGAAGCAGGAGTCCTTGCCGCCTTCGGCATAACCAGCGCAAACCATGTCTCCCCAGATGTCTAAGCGGAAATCTTTTTGTTGGTACAGGTGGTTACACATGGAGCTGTTTATGATGGCAACCTGCACTTCCTGGAGGGTGTAGGGATATGGCAGAGCTATTGGGGGATGGGGAGACAGAGAAAGACAGCAACTTGAGCCACTTCTCTAAGGAGGGGTGGCACAAGCTGTGGGTGTGTGTCTCTGGGGCATCCACCGTGCCTGGCATGTTCTTCTTGATGACTCCCAGTTTGAGCCCAGCACCTCATAGGTGCTCAACTATATCACAGAAGGACCCCATGGATGGACAGGCTGTTAGAGCTGTCCCCTGGGCCTCAGTTTCCCTGTCTAGTGGATAGAGGTGATAGTCCCTGCCTGAGCCAATGAGCCCTAACTTCTCCTCCATTTACAAGGTCTGGGGCCTTGTGAAATCCCCATAACTCTGCCCAATGGGTATGAAAATGTTCCCCACTTCATCCCTGAGTAAGCTCCAAGAGGGACAGGGCTTTGCCTTGCTCGCTCCTGGGTCCCCAAGTCTACAAGAGTACTGAGCACACAGCATGTATGCAAGGAGCTGGATCTGGTCCTGTCACGACTGCCACAGGACGATGCAGGCATGGGCCAGGCCAGGGAGCCATGGGAATGGGCATTCTGGCAAAGTGAACATGACCAGTCTTGGGGGCTGGGGCTCCAGCGGACCTCTCCGGGTGCTGTGCTCAGTGCGTTCAGGGTACTTGTATTGAGGGATGAGAGGTCAGGCCCACGGGGACCCCCAGTGGGATTGCAGCGCTGAGCTGAAGCTGCAGGAACATGGCATGCAAAGTTCAAGGAAACAGAAACGGGCTCAGGCTATGGAGTCAGCCAGAGCCACGTCCTGGGAGATGGGGCAGGCACGGAGGACCCCGAAGGGGCAGCTAACGCCTGCAAGTGCGTGAGCATCTCGGGGAAGTAGCTGAGGCCTCTGTCACCAGGCTCTCCCCAAACCCCGTCACTGTAGCCTGAGCCAACCGGGGCTTCCTGTGGCCCCCACAGTCTGGGGCAGCAAGAGCTAAGTGTCTGGTTCCTGCCCTGGTGGGTGGGAGCCAGCACAGAGAGGCAGGTGAGGAGAGGAGGGGAACAGGCCGGTAGGGGGTCCCACTGTGCCCAGGCCAAGGACGGGGCTGCTGTGCCTGAGTCACAGGGAAAAGCAAATGAAGGTAGGAGCCCCCCAGACCCGCCTGACCCCAGCCTCACATTTATCTTCTTCAATGTGCCCCCAGCCGGTCACCCAGCAGTCTGTCCGGTTCTCGAACTCTAATGTGGAGGCCAGGAGACAGATGGGCTGGATGTGGTTAGTGTACACGACGGAGGTGGACAACTTCACCATGGCAATGTCATAGGATGTCGACCCCAGGTACCTGGGACTCGTGTAAATATTCTGCACCTGGTAACGATTGTAGTAGGCCTGAAGGTTCCAGAAAGATGGCATGGCACTCAGCTCGCCAAACTGGACCGACCATGAAAAGGGGTCACTCGAACTGGTGGGGAGAAGAGAACAGTCAGGGGCCTTGACAAGGTTTGGCCACCGGAGGGGCGGATGTGGGAGGTGAGGCTGTGGGGCTGCTACTCCTCCTCCCAGGCGCCATTAGCAAGTCCTTCTCCTGGGCATGACAGCCCCTGTAGACATGGGGCATCCCAGAGAGGCCACAGCCAAAGTGCCAGAACCTGGGGACTGGGAGGGAGGGTGGGGTCTCGTCAGCTCACAGAGCTGTCCTAAGGATACTGGAATCCGGCAGAGCCCTCCAGCGGGACCCCGGGCCAGCAGAGAAGAAAGAGCAGATGCGCCAGGGCGGTGTGGGCGCCCAGCCGGACGCAGCCAGCACAGCTTCCCTGGGAGTGCTCGCGGCAGCCAGGCTCAGTGCCCGGCGGGTGCCCCTCCTCCCTGTCCTGCACTCCTGTGGCACGCAGCCACCAGAGGTGGAATGAGGGCAGATGGCACAGAGGGTAGTGCCATTTGGGTTAAGGAAAAAAATAGACCACCCCAGATGAACATAGAAATATTCTGGAAGAACATTCTGGAAGAACCTGAACAGGGTTCCATCCAAGAGCACGAAAGGGAACTGCAGTGAATGTAATGGGTTGCAACAGAGCAGGAGCCCAGGAGAACACCAGGCCACACCCACGAGTAATGTGCCCACCCAGTGCCTGCCCAGGCTGGTGGCCAAGGTCAGCGGCCCCACCTTACCCCCCTCCGCGCCAGCTACCCGCATCTGAGCCCAGACTCACTCTTCGAAGCAGTGCGCAGCTGTGAGCACCCAGCGGCGGTTGAGCAAGCTGGCTCCGCAAGTGTGGGAGTCCCAGTGACGCAGGCTGCCCTGCCATGGCCAGCGCCCGATCACCGAGTCCTCTCCACCCACCACGCGCGGCGGGATGGTCCTCTGGCCGCAGGGACCTGGGATGGACACATGGACCCCAGCTCAGCCATGAAGCAGGCCCGCCCCTCCCGGCCTCTCCCCCACGATGCGTGCAGTGGTCGCCCGGGATCCGCACGTCCTCCCAGGACCGCCCCTCCCAGCTTCCTGGGTTCTTGTCCGGGTGGAGGAAGGTGACTAGGGACTCTCCCACGTGGTATGCAAGGCCCGCGCCACCCCTGCGGCCCATCAGTTACTTTCGAACACCAACAAGTTTTCGATCCTAGGGCGGGAGAGGAAGAGATGAGGCGCCCTCTGCACCCGGTCCCAGTGCACCAGTGCACCGCGCAGGGAGGCGCGTTCCGTTCCGCGCCTTACCTGACAACAGGTCGGCCTCCTGCTTCTCTGGGAGGAGGCAAGAAGGTGAGCTCCCCTAGCCTCCGGTGTCCCACTCGCCCCCCCCCCGCCGTTTACCTGCGCCCACCCCGCGCGGACCGCAGCTCCCTGTTGCCCGGGCACCCCGTGCCGTCCCCCGCGCCCTGTGCCGTCCGCGTCCCAGCCCGGCAGCGGCCCCCCTGGAGCTCACCCGGCTTCTTCTCCTGGTCCCCCCGCGCCAGCAGCAGCGCCAGCAGCAGCGCGCAGGCCCGCGCGCCCATGGCCTCGGCTGCGCAGCGTGGCGCCCCCTCTGCTTCCTCCTCCCAGGCCGGCTGGGCGCCCCCTGGGGAGCGGGAGCCAGGGCGCCCTGGCCCAGCACCTGCCCCAGCTGGGCCTCCTGGGCCCGGGCCATCTGGGGACCCTCAGGCCTCACAGCGCCCTGGCTTTCTGCTCCTGTGGGCCGCGTCCCCAACCACACTCCATGGTGTGACGCGAGAACCCGTGGACCTGAACACGCCCTTTCTTTTCTGCAGCCCAGAGGTCCCAGCTGACCCCCTCCCCCTCTCCTCCACCCACTACTTCCCCCAGGACCCGGGACCCGGCCGGCAGCTGAGCCCCCGTTAGGGCGCAAGAGCAGGTCCTCCCTGTGCTGGGTTGGGGCCTAGCCCCGTTGGGCTGGGCAGGACAAGTTTCCTTCACAGCACTTTCTTGGGGACAGTGATGGTCCTGGCCTTGTCCTCCCTGAGCCGGCAGCCTGCTGTGCCCACCTGCCCTGGCCACACCCTGGCAAGGGCTCCTGCTCCGCTCCCGTCACTGTCCTTGGGGTTAACCCTTTCTGGAAGCCGACACTGCCCTTGGCAGACTTTATTGTCAGGGATCCTGGGTAGAAGGAAAGGGGCAGAAAGGGAGACAGGCGCCACTAGGTGGTTCAGCCATGTCCCTGTGGCCCGTGACTCTGGAGGGGGTCTCTGGAGGCTGTGCCTGCTTGGTGCCTCTCTGTGTGTCCTGAACACCGGCAGGGACATGGCGGGGTTTGCAGAGTGACCAGCTCCCCAGCGTCGCCTCAGGGGGCTCCCTCCAGAGGGACTCCCAGGAGCTTCCTCCAAGGCCACTCTCTGGGAGTCCTGGGCCTGGGCCCAGGTGCGGAGCAGGAGCCGGCAGAGCCAGGGTTCCTGCCTGGGGAGCAGTAGTGGAGATGGCCAGCCCGTGTCCTCGATCCAGGGCGCCTTGAGGGAGATGCTGGCGAGACACCAGGAGCTGGGGGACCAGAGATCCTTCTCCAGATGTTGATGCGGGCCCAGGACCACCGGTCCTTGACATCCAGCGCTGGGCCCTGCACCCCACCCAAGACGCCCTGCAGCGAGACGGGCCTGGGGCATGGGCTGGGGACTGAGCAGAAAGGAGCCCAAGGGGAGGCCAGGGCTAGGTGGGGACGAGCCCCCCGAGCACAGCCAGGGGGCGAGGTTTTCCCTACAAGTACCTTCCCTCTGTGTCCCAGGGCATGACAGCACTTGTGACTCGCCAGGCTCCTGCACACCCCTGCTCTCAGGGACATGCATGGCCCGTCGCTTAGGACACTGCGCCCACAACCACCGCCAGTTACCGTGGGGAGGCCCAGAGAGGCCCTTCTCAACTGGGGCCCAAGGGATCGCCTCAGTCTCGGGTCCTGCCAGATGCCCTGGGGACTCTCCATGGCCCTAGAGAGCCCCTGCCTGCCTGGCTCTCTCCTTCTTGTGCCCACCTACCTGCCCTTGGCCCCGGTGTGTCCTGTCCCAGCGAGTGCCAAGCTGGCTCCGGGTTCGGTCGCCTCTCCCTGCAGCCTCCTTTCCAGACAGCTGGGGGCTGGCTTCCTCCCCTCCCAGCTTGGCTCTCTCTGCCCCTGGCCCCCCTAAAGCAACCCCTTGGCCCCCACTGACCATCCACCCCACCTTCCTGAGGTGGTTTCTTCCTAGAATGTAGCGATATCCAAAGTGACGTTGTTTTTCTTTGTGGGTGTGTCACTGGCTGCCACCCAGCCCTGTGCACAACACGCTGAGTTGGTTGAATCTGAGGGTTGGCGGAGCACAGAAGGGGGCGAGGGCGGAGCGCAGAAGGGAGGAGCAATGGGAGGCGCTTGGGCTGGCAGAGTGTCCCCAGGGTGAGGGGCACGGGCTCAGGCCAGTGGGGTGACCTGCCCAGGACTGGCGCTGGCTGTGGGCTTCATCGACTGGCTCTCAGGATGCCCCTGGGGAAGATCTCAGCTCTCTGGAAGCCAGAGTCAGGTCTGCAGGCTCAGGAAGGCCTTGCAGGTCAGGGCGGCCCCTCCAGGAGGTGGGGGGTAGCACTTTGTCCCCTCCTTCCACATTACAATGTCACACTAGGCTACCGCCCATGTGGTTCCTGTCGGAGGAGCCTAAGGAAGCCAGCGGCGGCGGCAGCAGTGGGTGCTCCTGTGTCCGGCTGCTGGAGCAGGAGGGGCCTTCCATAGGGGACAAAGGGACTCAGGCGCCTTCTCCCTGGGGCAGCCCAGGGAGGGACCCGGCACCGAGTCCTGGTGGTACATGTGAGCTGTGAGTGGTTCAGGAGGCCTCAGGAGCTTGGAGACCCTGTGATGTCTCTGGTGGCTGCTGTCACTGTAGTCGGATACCCAGTGATTGATCATGGAGACCAGGTTGGGCGCTTCTCCTCCTCCGGGGGCTGCGAGTGCAGGGGGCAAGTGCCCAGGCAGGCAGGGCCCCAGTCCCAGCCCTGCCCAGGACCCTGGATTCCCCCCAGCCCTATCAACCACCCCAAGTCTCACCCCCAGCCCTATTCATGACCCTGGGATTCCCCCCCCAGCCCTCCAGTTGACCGTAGGACGCCCCGGGATGTGCTTGCTGCTCTGCTGCCCACAGAACCTAGGGCAAGGCTGCTGAGGACAGCGGCCTTGAGCTAGCCCTGGAGCTCCCAGCCTTCTGTTTCTCTGTCTGAAAAGTGGGGCTGTTTTCTAAAAGGGACATATATTCAAAGCAACCCCCCAATGCAGAAGGAGCCCAGAAACCAAGGAATGAGACCATATGTTAAGCCACAAAATAAATCTCAACAAATTTTTTTGAATTGAAATCATGTTAAGTATCTTTATGTACCACAATGGTACTAAAAAATCAATAATGACGAATTTCCAAAATTGACAAATACACGGATGTTAAAAAAAACACACTCTTGGCCGGGCGCGGTGGCTCACGCCTGTAATCCTAGCTGTCTGGGAGGCCGAGCGGGTGGATCATTTGAGTTCAGGAGTTCGAAACCAACCTGAGCAAGAGCGAGACCACGTCTCTACTATAAAAATAGAAATAAATTAATTGGCCAACTAATATATATATAGAAAAAATTAGCTGGGCATGGTGGCGCATGCCTGTAGTCCCAGCTAGTCGGGAGGCTGAGGCAGGAGGATCACTTAAGCCCAGGAGTTGGAGGTTGCTGTGAGCTAGGCTGATGCCACGGCACTCACTCTAGCCTGGGCAACAAAGCGAGACCCTGTCTCAAAAAAATAAATAAATAAAAAAGAAGAGGGAAGCTTATAGCAATATGCCCACATCAAAAAAGCAGAAAGATTTCCTATAAACAATCTAATGATACACATCAAGGAAGTAAAACAACAAGAACAAACCAAACCCAAAATTAGTGGAAGGGAAAAAATATTTAATAATAAAGATAAGAGCAGGACCAAATGAAATAGAAACTAAAGAAACAATGCAAAGGATCAGTGAAACCAAAAGTTGTTTTTTAAAGATAAAATCAATAAACTGCTAGCTAGACTAACAAAAGAGAGAAAACTAAAATAAAATCAGAAACAAAAAAGTAGACATTACAACGGATACAACAGAAATACAAAAGAACATCATAGACTATTATGAACAACTATATGCTAAAAAACTGGGAAACCTAGCAGAAATGGATGAATTCCTGGACACATCCAACCTACCAAGACTGAATGAGGAAGAAGTAGGGAAACTGAACAGACCAATAAAGTAATAAAGACTCCCTACAAAGAAAAGCCCAGGACTCAATTGGCCTCACTGCTGAATTCCTCCAAACTTACAAAGAAGAATTAACACCTGTTCTCCTCAAACTGTTCCAAAAGATTCAAGAGAAGGGAATTCTCACTAACTCCTCCTGTGGGGCCAGAATTATTCTTATATGAAAACCAGACAAGAATACAACAAAAATAGAAAACTACAGGCCAATATCCCTGATGAACATATGCACAAAAATCATCAGCAAAATACTAGCAAACTGAATCCAATAGCACTTTAAAAAGATAATACATCATGATCAATTGGAATTTGTCCCAGGGGTGCAAGCATGCTTCAGCATATGCAAACCAGTAAATGTGACCCCTCACATCCGCAGAATGGACCACAAAAACCATATCATCATCTCAATAGCTGCATAAAAACCACTTGGTAAAACTCATTTTCATGATAAAAACTGTCAACTCAGCATAGAAGAAACATACTTCAAGATAGTAAAGGCCATTTATGACAAACCCACAGCTAACATCATACTGAATGGAGAAAAGCTGGAAGCATTTCCTCTACGAACTGGAACACCTGCCCACTTTCATCACTCCTACTAAACATAGTACTGGAAGACCTAGCCAGAGCAATCAGGCAAGAGAAAGAAATATAAGGCATCCAAATTAGAAAAGAGGAAGTCAGTTTGTCCCTCTTTGCAGATGATATGATCTTATATCTAGAAAACCTAATGACTCCGCAGAAAAACTCTTAGATCTGATAAATAAATGCAGTAAAAGTTGCAGAGAACAGAATTGTCATAGAGAAATCAGTAGTCGGCCGGGGGCGGTGGCTCACGCCTGTAATCCTAGCACTCTGGGAGGCCGAGGTGGGCGGATTGCTCGAGGTCAGGAGTTCAAAACCAGCCCGAACAAGAGCGAGACCCCCTCTCTACTATAAATAGAAAGAAATTAATTGGCCAACTAGTATATATAGAAAAAATTAGCCGGGCATGGTGGCGCATGCCTGTAGTCCCAGCTACTTGGGAGGCTGAGGCAGAAGGATCGCTTGAGCCCAGGAGTTTGAGGTTGCTGTGAGCTAGGCTGACGCCACGGCACTCACTCTAGCCTGGGCAACACAGCGAGACTCTGTCTCAGAAAAAGAAAAAAAAAAAAAGAGAGAGAAATCAGTAGTGTATCTATACACCGATAATGCACTAGCTGAAAAAGAAATCAAGAAGGCAATCCCATTTACAATACCTACCAAAAAACAGTAACACCTAGGAATAAATTTAAGGAAGGAAGTGAAAGAACTCTACAAGGAACACCACCAAACACTGATGAAAGAA